TAACTTAGTATCGCTGTAATACATAATTAGGCAGACTTTACATTCTATTCGCAGAAGTCGAGTGCGAGTTTCGCGTATCACAAGCTATTGACTTACAAAAGATTGGACAACAAATGAAACTTTGACTTTTTACGACTAGTAAGAAAGAAGGAGGAAGGGAGAGTTTGAAATTAGGGAATAATGTATCAATAATGTTATGGGAAGCACTGATTTAGTTAATTGGGCCAAACCCAAACACCTTTGTTCAAGATCAAAAAAAATCAGAGTAAACAAGATTCAGCGTTCAGACAGTGTTGTTTATATGTCGATGGAAATGGTTGGAGATATAGGCGGCCAAAAGATTAATCATTTCTTTCAAATAATAACATTTTATTTAATTCCTGGACTTTCACTTTAGTTAATTAAAAATTAGTCATGAATCATTTGGATCTTTTCCTATACTTAATTATTGAAGATATAGGGAAGGAATATTGGACTTGAAGCATTGGTGGATCAGTATGGCATTCAAAATACATTTTCCAGATAAATCTGATTTCAAAAAATACTGGTCTTTTTATAAAGTATCACTCGACTAAATGTTTATGATATTTCGTGATAGACTTCTGATAGCCAAAGATTACCGGTTCACACCAACGAAATAAAAGAAAGACGAGCTTCTCACCGGGAATCACAAAGTATTCAAACATTAAAATGTTCAGAACAAAACAGAGATCTTATTATGAATAATAAATAATGATCGATTTGTCAATCATATCAATTACGGTAAATTTCTACACGGAGTTAAGAGTCAGGATACACAACAACATATGAATATTTCCTGTCATAGCAACATTCAGCTAGAGTTTTGAGACTTAACGGCTGGCATGTTGTGCACAAGCAAATATAATTAGGAAATCGGAATCCGTTGATAATTTCCTGCCTTTTCAAACATAAGTGCAAAATGAACTCAAACATTTCAATTAGATGTGTGCGATTAGAACGATTACAATATGATTCATTCTACTGCTTTTCGTCGTGATTGGGTAAGCTGCAACATCTGATTTTTGTGTTTGATAATATGAATATGGATTATTTCACTGTTCTATTCAGATGATGCTGTTTTGTCTAAGGTCAAACAAGATGTATCAAACTACTTTTACTATAATGATTTGAATGTAAATTTAAACATGGGACTCTCCTTTAGGCAACGGGAAACGTTCAATATAGTTCCGTAGACATTGATTGAATACGAACCATTATATCTACAATTTAAATATAAGTTGATAACCGAGTTTGGAAACAACATTATTCTGTACCATTATAAAAAAAATTATCTCAAGATTAATGTGCTCTGACGTAAGAATAAAAAAGTGAAAAGAAAAACGAAAAAACAAAGAGTTAGATTTGTAGCAGTTACTTACACGATTCATACTACGTTCTTTTAATTACGGAAAAATCAATCTTTAAGCAGTTAATAATCCTGTACAAACCTCATGTGCTAAAAAACAAATTTTCGAGGAGTTATTTATCATTATGATTCACAATTGTTGAGGCATAAAAAGTTAATGAATATTTCATTTTTAAAATATGATACACAGATAATTGTCTGCTATATGCTTCCTTTGTGAACCTAATACTAACACACATATACAGTATTAAAGATTTTCTTTCGATAGGATTTCATAAAAAGTTCATTTATATTTCCAAATTTTCTTAAATTAAATAAATTTATGCTTGATTTTCACAGAATAGTTTCCTGTTTTCCAGCAGCAAATGAAAATGTATTTCCCGAACCAAGTAAGATATTTTTTTAATTCTATCCATCAGAATGGTTTCGTTTGCAATAAAAATGTTCAGACTCTAACACATGTGCTATGGCGCTTTAACCGTTTCTGTATGCCATGCCCACACAAGTCTTCGTAATGTTACATAGTCATATAATTCATCATAGATTTCACTACTGGAGAGTTTTATTATCGTTTTGCGTTTTAAACCATAATTCAAGATGTTGGTAACAATTATAACAGACATATGTGAAACAGCGAGGGATAAATCCAAATTTTCAAATATTGTATTTTCAGCGTTTATAATTCACTCGTTAATGCTTTCTCCTGTGACGTTTGCTGAAAAACCAGGTTTCGATATATTTATTTTAAAGTAGCTCAGAAATGAAATAGCAAAATTGCTTTTTATACTTCAGAAGAAACTGTTCTGAAATAGTAAAAATCTCATTTATAAATTTATTAATATACGTTATCTTTTAGACCAAATGGAAGATATTGTTCTAAAGCCGACAGAAGCCTCCGAAAGACCAGAAGGTATTATATAATTTTAATCAACAATAGTAAAAAATATAGTAATAAAAATATTGTTTCATACTTAAATAGAGAAAGTGTTTCTGACGTCATAAAATTGATATTTTTTGATCAAATATATATAATTGTTATTGAGAATAGTGAAAGGTATTACTTGTATTATTTTGAAGAATAAATAAAATTAAAACTGAAAACGATGTTTTTGGTCTCATTATTTTTATAATGTTCTTGTATTTATCATATTTTAGCTCAAATTGAAGATATTGTACCAAAGCCGACACGTCACTTTGAAAAACCAGAAGGTATTCCACAATTAAAATAGTCAAAAATCTAATAATAAAAATACTGTTTGATTCTTGTATAGAACAAATTTGTTTTTGAAGTCATAATAGTGTCATTTTTTTAAATTTTATATAGGAATTAATTATTGGAAACAGTGATACTTGTATAGAACAAATTTGTTTCTGAAGTCATAATAGTGTCATTTTTTCATTTTATATATGAATTAATTATTGAAAACAGCGATACTCGAATAGAACAAATTTGTTTTTGAAGTCATAATAGTGTCATTTTTTTAAATTTTATATAGGAATTAATTATTGGAAACAGTGATACTTGTATAGAACAAATTTGTTTCTGAAGTCATAATAGTGTCATTTTTTCATTTTATATATGAATTAATTATTGAAAACAGCGATACTCGAATAGAACAAATTTGTTTCTGAAGTCATAATAGTGTCATTTTTTATTTTATATATGAATTAATTATTGAAAACAGTGAAAATAAATATTTATAACTAACATGGAATTACTTGTTTTATTTCAAATAAATGGGTTACGCTGATTTGAGTTTTTAAATTATATAGAAGTTTCACTTTTCATTATATTCCTGTATTCTTTGTGTTTTCCGCCCAAATGGAAGATATTGTGCCAAAGCCTTCTTCTGTGACGGCTCTTGAAAGACCTGAAGGTCTTACTCGTTTACAAGTGAAATAATCGAAAATTTAATATTGAAAAATACTGTTTCAAACCTATATAGAGAAAAAAACTGTTCAATAAGTCATAGAAGTGTTATTCTTTGATTTAATATATGTTGGTTATTGGGAACATTGAAAATATTTGAAACAAGCATTGTAATACTGAAAATTTAGGAATTAGTTTAAATTATTTTTTGCGAATTATTTCTCTTTTCAGTTATCTTAATTTTGTCTATCCCCCATAACGCCCAAAAGTCTAATTGCACGGCCAAAATCTAATGTCGATATTTACAGTTGCAGTTTTCATGTTCCGTTTTGGTGGATAAACACAGTCAATTGTGATCTGGGATCCCCCGGTAGGGAGTTTGTTTTTTCTTTCGTGAGTTTGGGTCAGTAATTCAGTTTAGATATTTAACTCGAAAATGAAAAAAAGACTATTAATGAATGGTTGTAAACATTAAGTCGATTAAAATGTTTAAAAAGTTTTATTATTTTCAAAATCGGCCAGAAAATTCATTTTGTTTGAAAGAGCTATACATGACATTCCAACAATTTCTGTAAGCAACAGTAATCCACCAAAGATCTTCAAAATCATTTTTTATATTTTCACTCCAATATCTAAAGTACAAACAAAATGATCTATGACTAATTAGTAAAAAATGAATATAAGTTTAGGAAAGAAATAAAAACCAAATTTGGTTAACTTGCGCTTTTTTTTGCAATATCTGTTATATTAGCTTCGCGACTAAAAACTCAGCAATTATTCAATTATTTTCAGATATTACCAAGCAATGAATAAAAGAAGACTGAAGACCTCATAGGGATAGGATTTACAATATTTATAATAAAAATGTTACATGGATTTAATTAACTTACATTGAAGGAATTAATTTTACACATTAAATTTTTATTTTGTGCTCAGCAAATATTATCTATCTCACAGTAGTGGTATTGAGACAGTCAATATAAAATAAAAGTCTGTTTTGTGGTATGGAACCAGTCTTTATCTTTTCGACATAGATATATCAAATTTTTGAAATCTATTACCATATATTGCAGTATTCTGACGGTTCGACTTGTTTTAATTTAGGTAACAAGCTCCCACTGATATCTTTACCGAATAGATCAATTGATAGACATAGCCTCCATCGCAAGTAATAATATTTATTCGAATTGACGTTCGACCTGGATATTAACACCCAGTTGATGGCGCTCTTAGCTCATTAAACTGAAAGTGTATAAGGCCGGCAGAATATGGGCGCGCTCAGTGCAGATTTCAGGCAAAATAAATTCCGGATTCGGAAACTTATCTCGGAGGAAGGGAAAGGGTATAAGACGACTTAAGCATATGATACACCATGGCCTCTTTCCGGATACCAGTCCATGTCGAGTATGGGATTACTTAATCAGGTATTTGCTTTAGATACACGGTCTTGGTGTGAAGGAAACCGTAACCGACCAGCGGCTACTTTTTACGTGAACCAGCCTACGTCGGTGAGGAGTCAAGCAAAATTTGAACCAGCGAAACAACACAGCGTTATAAGAGGCGAGATGGGAATCGTACCGTATTCTTAACGCTTAGCATGGTTCCCAATCACCGTGTCTGATGACTGACGATAACTAACATCTGTAATCTTAGCACAGAATAGAGATGATAAATAAACAATAAAAACAAAGTATTGAAACTGATTATGGAATCAGAAGAGCAAACAAAATCTCAAGTAATGTTTGAAGCGTACAAAAAAGAAAGGTTTTGCCAAAGGTAGTGGTACGTTTTCACTTCATTATGTTATGAGTATTAAATTAACACACACAAAACGACAGAGAATAAAATAAAAAATATATAGGAGAAACTTGGGATAAATTACCTCGTAAACAACATAACTAGAAAAAGAGTATAAGCTTTTAAAAGTGAAAAAATTTCTGCCACACCATACTAATGATTTTGTAAGGGTTGCTAAATTTATTAGGGAGTTAATTATTGACTGTATTATTTCTTCCAAACGCGCATTATTTCGTTGGTGGTATTCAGATGATACAGAGTAACAAAAGACGAGTTGGAGTGATGTCACCTTAACTTTTCACTAATAGAAATTCATCTAAGAATCCTTTATTGTTGTCCGAAAAATATCCGAAAATAAATTTAATCGATTATTTGGGTCCGCGTCGATTTATTGCTTTCCAAATAATCTTCTCAGTACATCGATAAATTTCCTCCGATGACAAATATGATTTTAAAACTTCACCATCGAGTAAAAGAAATTCTTTCTCATTTGTGATTTGGGCAAAGTTTTCGACCAAAAACTCATCCACCGCTTTTTCAATTTCCTTGCAATCAAAAGTTTCAGTAAATTTAAGCAGTTCACGGTTTCAAATATTGATATATATAGAAGAAAATATGTTATGTATTTTTTAGACTAATATATTCATTCAGTCGACATTACTTCTTTTGGAATGGGATCCGTCTACCATCTGGAAAGTGTGGTATTGGACCGGGGAAATCTGGAAGCGGAAATCTTGTAAAAATGGGTCCTCTTGTTATTGGGAAAGGAATCTTCGATGGAAGAGGTTTGATTATGGGAGTTTTGACGCATCGACACTCTGAAAATACAAGAAATTTCAAGTATTTGGGATAACAAAAGTGGACTTTAGTCACACTCAATATATCAATCAAAGGCTGCATCATTATTAGGAAACGTATTACCCAAACAAAGATATAAACGCTAACTCACATTTTGATCCAATGCGCAAATATATGCAAATCCACAACTCAAATTTAATTACGACCTATTTCATTGTTAGCGTAATGCTCTGCTTATGTTGTCGTTAGGAATAAAATACGCAAGGGTAATGCTGAAGAAAATTATCAGATCATTAGCACAGGGTATGTGTGGTCATCTTATTCCACCCATGCACTCGAGATAGCGCTGTCCTGCCACTTTTATTGTGCTCTCACGAGCGTAAAATGTTATGTCCTCTGCTCACATGCCATCAACTAAGATTATTCATATAATATATTTGTATTTCACTGAATAATAAACTTTTAGAAATTTAAATACAAATCATAGTTTTAATTGCAATTACTTATATAAGAAGCACCGCGGAGACCTATCTTTTTACGAGGTTGTCTGCATTAGTATGATCATTGTTTTTAGTTGACTTACATAAAATCACAACTCTAATAATAATTTTACTCAATTAATTACTAAAGTATTGGTTGTTAAATTTGGCAGTTACAATAGAACTTTTCTAAATATAGGGTGTCCATAGGGTCCTAAATTTTTTAAAAATTGCAAAAAGAATTTATCGATACCATATATTGTTTTGACCCTTACAGATGTATCAAATGAAGTAAAAATGCTTTAACAGTTACTGAATAAAAAACAACAAACCTGGTTAACATATATTGAAAACTGACTTCATAACAAAATTGAAATTGTAAAGAGACTTATGTATGTACATCCCGTAGTATATAATATTCATATTTCTATTTCAATAAGCCGAGGGTCATCAAGTAGAGCTTTAAGTTTCGTACAATGCAGACTTTTCGTGGGGGGGGGGGGTATACCCGTTTGATGAGTGTTGATGTGTTAGTCATTGAACTATATGTAATTATATACGTTTTTGCTCAATGCTGATCAACGCGGCTCATTTTTGGTTCCTAGTTATTTATGATAAATACAAAGATCTGTAATTTACTATATTGTATCACAATAGTAAATATAGTAACATTTTTTCTGTCATAAAATACTAAATCATTTTAATTATACAGATCTCATAAATGTAAAGTATGCATATGGAGACAAAGGTCGAGAAAGCCACATCAATAAATATAACGAAAGAATTGTCCAAAACCTATTTTTAGTTGATATGCCAGTCACAAATTTTGAATGTAATATTAATTATAATACTTACTTTCAAGTTTTTCGATTCGCATTTTAAGTGCAGAATTCTCAACTGAAAAAATTGTAATGACAATCTCGTTATAAATAAAAAAAATTGAATTTGTCTATTGATAGAATTTTTGAATAATAAGTTTTTTATTAATATTTTTTTTTATTCATAAAAATGAAATCTTGAAATATTAATTTGTAGGATAGTGGACAATCACAAATGAGCACAATTTCCAGTCTTAGCTGAGGTTTTGAAAACTCAGAGCTGAGAGATCACCAAGGTATACCAACTAACGCACTTTTACACAAAAATTCAACGCGAGAATGAGAATTTCAGACCTATACTTGAACTCAACAATTAAAATTAGGTTTTTGTTTCAGACGAATTAGAGACAAAACGATAGAAATTTTATTTCGTTTAATAGGCAGATAAGCTTTGTAAACTTGTTCTTGTTGAGGACAAATTAGAGATATGAACGAAACAAACCTCAATTTGTTTAATAGGCTGATAGGATTATAAACTTAAAAATTTCTACTGCTTGGAATCCAAGGTATTAATATGGAAAACAATGAAAATTAAATAAATCTAGTTCACCCACTTCTTAGTGAAGCTAATTTTGCATCAACCATTTTGATTATCTGGTTAACATCGACTGACTTTCCTGGAGAACCTGAACTGCCTCTTTCCCCTTTTGGGCCGATACTTCCACTACTCCCAGGAGGTCCTGCTGGACCAACGGAACCTGGCGAGCCATTTTTACCCGCTGATCCCGTTGGACCTTCCGGCCCCTGAATTCCTCTTTTACCAGGTCTTCCTTGCTTGTAGTTAGGACGACAGCAATAATCCTCGTTCCCAGAAACACACAAGTTTAGGATTAAAATAATGAATGCAATACTTATCAACTTAGACATTTTAGCAAAGAAACTTCACGTATCTTTCTCACAAACTGGTACTATTAGTTACCTACAACAATAAAAATATGCAAGGAATCACAAACTTTATCTTATAAAACATAAAACGTTATCTTCTTGTATACTTTTATTTCGTCTCTTCACAGGTTTTCGAAGATCTAAACAAGTATTATTTTGTGCCAGAAAATAATATGCTAATGAATATATAAAGATATTTTTTCTGTGGTATTTCGATACCGCATTTTGTGCCAGTGGCTTACTTTATTTTATTCGGTATTATACAGAGTGGATTCCACATAATAGAAGCTCAAGTATTCGCGAATGAGATTTGATTGTCAACCTTCATTATTGTCTCCACCTAACATTGCCATAATCCCCACTAGTAAACGTAATATGGCCTTTATAAATATATTTCCACATACCGCTCAATATGTTAGATTATTGCATAATTTGTTGGCTGGAGTGATATACCAGCAGTGCAGAGACAACAAATGTTGGATAAAAAAAAATTGCTGGGCGTCGTTTGTAATTAGAAAAACAAATTTACGCTACCTTGCATATAATTGACCAAATAACAAGCATTCAAAGCATTTTTTTGCTAGTGAAACGTTCATTCTTGGCCAATAGTCTTCACTGACTACAGTTCTAATGATTTTTAGTACAACAAAACATTTCCTGCAAAGCAGCTATGTCTTCATAATTAGTCCCATTAGTATCATCTAAAGATTAACTGACAGTTTAATAGATTATAAACTCATTGCTTGAACTGGAATGCTTGTAGACATTAATTCACATAAGATTTGGTGCCTCGGGATAGAATTTGTGACTGTGGCAATTAGTCATGCGACATTTAAATGTCGTAGACATAAAACGACAAACAGAATTTTGGAAATACATCTAAACGTATTTGTCAGAAATTTACATCCATTTCTGGCCTAGCCTTGAAGCATGGTAGAGGACTGGGTTGGCCCTATTATTGGTTTTCTTCTCCCGAGATATAATATGAAATATCGTATTTTAGTAAGGTGAATTCGTAACGTAAACATAAATACAGATTTGTTAAAGCGTTATGTATACATGTTAATATTCCGGTTGCCATATAGTTTGTGGAATATCTGCTGGGAATATTTGGACACATTCCTTATATTTATATCGGAACATTTAACTTGCTTTGACATGAATACCTATGTATGAAAGCATCGCTGGAGTGAGTAGCCTCAGTTCTTTCAAACGTGAATCATTTTCTGCGACGAATGATTAAGTCTAAAGTTATGTAAGATCAGAAACATACTGGATATTCGGAGCCAAACCAACCGGCTGGCTGTCTCCAAGAAAACACGGTTCGAACAGCATTGAGTAATTAGTATTTGTGATTTTGAGTGAAATTTAATGAGGACATAATATATTAGAAAACTAAAATCGGGGCAAAACGTTTGATAATGCCAAAGTGTTCCGATCCAATTGTATAAATCATTGGAAATTTAGAAATTTGGAGATGCCAAGGTAGGATCAAGCAATAAAATGTCGAGTTAATATTAATATCAGTTACTGAAGAAACTGAAAATTCAGCGGAATTCACTTTGGTCGGGCATGCATGATATAAAAATCGTTCATGCCCAAGTCAGTTGCCAGGAAGGCATATTGTTCAAACACACTTACATCCAACTGTAACTTTTGTGTTTGATAATACGATATGGATTATTTTACTGTACCAGTCAAAAGATTCTGTTTTCTCCAATGCTAGGCTAGATGTATTAAAACTGCTTTTACTATATTGGTGTTTGAATGTAAACTTAGACATGTAACTCTCCTTCAGGCAATGGAAAACTTTCAAGATAGTTCCGTGTAGAGTTTTTTTAAATGCCAACTATAATACCTATATAATTATTAGAAGTCGATAACATATTTTAGAAGCACACATTATTCTGTACCATTATAATATTTTTACCAAGATCAATATCCCCTGACATAATAATAAGAAAGTAGAACGAAAAACGAAATCGATAGAACTAGGCCAGTCGGTTACGCGATTCATACTATTTTTTTTGTAATTACGAAAAATCAATCTCTAAAGGGTTTTTAATCCTATATTAACCCCATGTGCTAAAAATACAATTTTGGAGGAGCTATGTATTCCTTTTATTCAGCATTGTTGTTGCAAAATAAACTAAATTAGAATTTCCTTAAACAAGATGATACATAGAAGGATGTCTTTTATAATCTCCCTTTATAAAAGTAATGCTAACAAAAACTTACAGTAATAGAACCATTTTATCAAAACTTTATTCATATTTTATTTTACATTGAAATTTATTTATGCTCGATTTCTACAGATCAGTTTCCTGTTTTCCAAGCAGAATACCAAAATGTATTTCCCAAACCAAGTAAGATAATTTTTTACTTGTAACTTGCACTTTTTTACTTGTTACTTGTAAATCAGAATGGTTTAGTTTGCCACAAAAATGTTCAGACTCTAAGGCATGTGCTTTGATACTCTAACTATTTCTGTTATTTGCGTCTCAAATAAGTTGAAAATTTTTTTTTTTATGCCTATTCAATTTGTCACAGCTTTTACTACTAGAGAAATTCATTGTTGTTTTGCGTTTTAAACTTAATTCAAGATTTTGTCAATTTATAATTATAACAGACATATTTCAAATAGAAGGGGATAAAACAAAATTCTAAAATATTGTATTTTTCAGAATTTTTATTTCATTCGCTAATGCTCTCGCCTGTGACATTTGCTGGAAAACCAGGTTTTGTAGTATTTTATAAAGTACAAAATATTTTAAAGTTGTTCAGAAATGAAATAGTCAAATTGCTTTTTTATACTTCAGAGGAAATAGTACAAGCCTGATTTTATAAATTTATTTTATATTCTTTATGATTTTAGACCAAATAAAAGATATTGTCCCAAAACCAACAGAAGCCGTTGAAATACCGAAAGGTATTACCCGATTTTAAGTAAAATAGTCAAAAATCTAATAATAATGAAAACACTGTTTCATACATATATAGATAAAGTGTTTTTGAAGCCGTAAAATTGGCATTTTTTGATTTAACATATGTAATAAATAATGAGGGTAGTGAAAATATTTGAAACAAGCGTGGAATTACTTGTATTATATTGGAAGATCAAATGAAAATAAACTGAAACTGCTCCTCTTGGATTTGATTTTTATAAAAGTATTGAGGGTATTGAACATATTAAAATGGTGCATTGTATCCCTTGTCCTCTTTTATAGAACAAATTAAACTGAAAACGATGTTTTTTGTTTGTGATTTTTATGTAAGTTTCATTTTTTCCCATATTCTAGTATTTATCGTGTTTTTAGCTCAAATTGTAGATATTGTGAAAAAGAAGACGGTTGTTATTGAAGAACCAGACGGAATTTTAACTTAAATAATATAAAATGTAATGTAAAAAAATACTGTGCTACTTTAGAGCAAATTGTCTCATGTTTTATTGAAGTTTCGTTTTTGGGTGTAATCTATATTAATCATAATTTATCCCAATTGGAAGACATTGTGCCAAAGCTTTTTTCTATGACACATCTCGAAAAATTACAAGGTAGTTCACAATTTAGACAAATTGGCCAGAAATTTGATTAATAAAAATGATGTTTTATTTGTGGGAAAAGCTTCTATCTAAATGCTGCTAAAGTGGTCTTTTATTTCTTGTGATTGTTTCCTGGGTGATGTAGAACCATATATATGCTGTAATAGCAAAAGAAGTTGTGTTTGACTTTTGGAAAAAATCCGAGTAAAACACAACAAGTCACAAACCATTGTCAAGTTATTTGTTTTGGAACTCAAAATTAATGGTAGTTTAGGAATGAGTTATATTGTTATTGATTTCAATTTTTATTTTCTTTTTACTTCTCTCCAATCGTTTTCACTAAAGTCTTTTTATAATAGCTTTTTCCGGTTTTGAATTTGAGATCTCATTACGCAAACAAACTGAGGTTCGTCGATATTATTATACAGTTACAGTTTTACTGTTTTGCTTTGCCGGGTAAACACAGTCAGTTGTGATCTGCGATCCGCCCAGTAAGAAGCTTGTTTTTCTCATCTTTTTTTAGTGTAAGCCAGTAATTGAGTATATCTATTCCACTTGAAAATGAACAGATGACTATCAATGAATGGTTGTAGACCTTAAGTCAATTAAATTCTTTTTATAAAATTCTTATTTCAAAACCCGGCCAGCAAATTTTGTTTTGTTATAAAAGAGCTGTTCAAGACATTCAAATATTTTCTGTAAGCAACACTAATCAAACAAAGAGTGACTTCAAGTCCATTTATTATTTTTCGGCCATTAAGTATATCGAAGAAAAAGTAAATTATCAAAGACTAATTCACAAACAAGGTAAATGTGCAGAAATGAAATAAAATGTTGTAATTTGAAAAGAAAATCCGCCTATATCTCCAACCATTTTCATTGATATATAAACCCCACTGTATGAGGACTAAATCCCGTTTACTTCGATTTTTCAAGATTTTAAATACGGGAGTTTTTTTGGCCCAATGAGCTGAATCGATGATTATTAACATTGTTTAGTTCATTACACTCTTAGTATATTTTAAAACTCTTCATTAATTCCATAAAAAGTTTGTTTTCTTTTGTTGTCCGATCTTTGATGGACCCATAGCTCCATCTCGCACTCTGGCTTTTGCGAATATTTTAGAGTTTGTATAATTATGTATTACAGTAATACTAAGTGATTAAAGACCATTAGTAATAAATGCAAACATAGTTAAATTGCTACTTTCAAAAAGTTAAAGTCCTTCCCGGGGAAGATTTCGGTTGGGAAACACTGCGCTAACCACTATAGGCGCAGACACCACTTTTAATGCCACCGTACTTTCATCGTTATGTTAGATTATTGCATAATTTTTTGGCTGGCGTGATATACCAGCAGTGCAGAGACAACAAATGTTAGATAAAAAAAAATTGCTGGGCGTCGTTTGTAATTAGAAAAACAAATTTACGCTACCTTGCATATAATTGACCAAATAACAAGCATTCAAAGCATTTATTGCTAGTG